AATTAAAGATGACTATAAAATAATCAAAGTCGCATTTTTGTTATTGATAAACAAAGTTTCTTCTAGTTCTAATTTGAAATATTTCACCAAACAAGACTGTMTARRGCTAGAATTCAGTTTCGTAAGCATACYACTCGAAGCTCCATGCGATCMGCACATGCGCGTACTTCTGATGCCTAGACTGATGCATTCCGATGAGATCACAGATACCACATTTGTAAACGAATAGTTTTTTTATCACATAAAAGCGCAAGCAGCATCTAACATTTACTATCGATATTCGTACATCTATATACGTTTGAGCTTCCGGTCATGAAATAACACAGCCAAAYCCAATAGTTAATTATTAAATTCTTAACTTCCGGTGGTCCAAACGCGACAAAATACACAGATAGATAGATAGATTGGCTAAAGGGTAAAACTCAAGTCGACCTAWTTAATTACCTAAAGAACATTTGCAGTTTTATCTACTTGCTTTGCCTACCTTYACTTTTCGCCTCATGCGGGGTCGGAATCCAAAAATATATCACTTTGGAAGTAAATGTGGAATAACTGCGACTGCGATCGGGAACCTAAAGTCCGGATAACCTTTCATAGGGACATTTTGCTCCATGCACACTAGCAATGGTGTTACTTACTTCACACGGGCAAATCTATCATTGTGTTATCAGTGCAAGTCCAGCTATAGAGAGGGTGACCTTCATTTCTGCCGGAGACAACAAAAATAACTTACAAAACGAAACAAAACGAATTAAAACACATTAACACACAGATCYGTCACGAATAGAAGAGTGTCCAAAGGCTTAGACAGAGTTTTCAGAGAAAACAAAAACAAGGCAAAACAAACAAACAAAAAACAGGTAAAACAAGGAGAAAAACAGGTAAAACAAGGAGAAAAACAGAATATGAAATTTTGGACTAATAACATCAAAACTTGTAGACTTTAATAAGCAAAACTTAATATGCCTGAAGTAACGAATCAYTGTCAGGTCTTGTAGAGCTGATTTTGTTCTATGTGTGGTTTGAGAATTCCTGGTTCCATCGTTCACTTTCAGTGTCAGCGTTTACGAATCTTCAGTATGACATCATTCTTTGGGAGCATAATCAATGTCGCCTTGTATTCGAGGTCAGYGGTTTGACGGCATCTTTCAAACTTATACTTCTCCATGATAGTGAACAGGGCGTTTTTGACCTCGTGTAGAGCGAGTCTCATGCCAATACATTGMCGAGGACCCAGYCCAAATGGCATGTATGAATACGGATGACGTTTCTTCTTAGCTTCGGCAGAAAAGTGCTCTGGGTAGAAGTCATCWGGTCGTTCCCAGGCCTCGGGATCACGATGCAGGCAGTATGTGGGAATATTSACGTCGATGCCCYTGGGAAACCGTATTCCTTTGATAACTACCTCTTGGTTACAGAGTCGGGCAAGGTTAAACCCAGGACTACACAAGCGTAGCACTTCGCAAACGATTTTGTCCAGGTACTCGATGTGGTGTACCAGGTCATACGGCGAAGAATCTTTGTTTTCTTCTCTGGCTTTGTCKAGTTCTTGTTGGAASGTTTCTTGGATGTCAGGATAGTTTGCCATATAATATGCAGTGCTTGTCAATGTTGTGGAAGTGGTTTCAAATCCTGCTAGGAGAAACACGAAGCATTGTGCTGCAAGTTCCTCATCATTGAGTTTTGGTTTGCCATCCACKTGATTGTCGTGTGCTTCCAGCATCAGTTGGAGAAAATCACGTCTGGCRGGCGGTCCAGCTTGATCTCGTCTGCTGGCAATAATCTTGCGCGCAATTTCAAGGAAGTAGTCGGCATTCGAAAAGAACTGAATGTTGAAAATGTCGCAAAGCTGGTTGGAAAATGGCGCAGCAGAGAATACTCTCTTCCACAAGGGGACTCTGAATGCGTCTCGCGCCAAAGAAAGAAATTCATCATTGGGCTGGTTTTGTACATCAATGTCGTATCCAAAGGCTGCTTTCATGATGACATCAAGAGCAAAGAGAGCGAATAGTCTGGTGATATTCACATCTTCTCCTATAAAGTAAGTAAAGATAGGAAACACGTTTTAATAATAATAAATAATAACAATTTATTGAATTTACATAACGTTATATAGTAAAAATTCTATAACGCTTCACAGTACAAAAACTCATGATGAAAAAAATATATATATTAAAGATAAACATATATGTATATAAATATAAGACACAGTCAAAAAACCTCAAAAAATGATTATTAGAAATAAAAATATGTACATATAGATATGAGACAAGCTAAACTATGTTTCATAAGCTTGCTTAAATAAAAATGTCTTTAGTAGTTTTTTATAAACATTTTTATATCTTTACAATTCTTCAGCTCTTTTGGCAATGAATTCCATAGTTTGGGGCCACAATATGCAACTTCTTGCGGAGGATAGTCGACCTCTTATATATCCTCTAATGTAAATTTACAAAAGCTTTAGTGTAGATTTTTCAAAATTTTGCCTTTAGGAATTGTTTTTTCAAAAACTTCCACCCCACCCCCCTTTGAAATTATAATGGATCGCCCCTAAATGTTCTTTGACGGGTTTGATGTCATTGTCACGAATAAAGTGCGTCACGTCAGTCCGGTGTTTTTGATAGATTGTGATAAAATCTTACTTTTAAAGGAAATTCTAGAATTCAGACTATAAACACGGCTCACTGACGCTTATTTTCCGCTTCAAATCACTCAATGAAGTCCTGAGAGGAAATTATAATATTGCGTGTCACTCAAGCATGACAGCTAGTTAAATAATAGTTGTGCATACCAGTTTCAGAAAAGACCTTCATTTTCTTCTGCAATACTTCCATACATTCTTCCACAATAGGATTCATTTGTTTGAGTTTTGCAGCACTAAAAGTGGGTGTCATAATCGTACGAATTCGCTTCCACGTCCCATCTTGGGTTGCTGGAAGGACGAAGGACATTGGAGGATTGAACTTAATAAAGCGCGGTCGGTTACGAAATTTATCGAACTCTTTCACTACGATGATCTTAATCATTTCGAGATCAGTGACAACAATGCCAGGTCTTCGTCCAACGTAGAACTTGTGGACTCGACCAAAGCGTTTGAAGTACTTCCACAACGTCTTGTGCATGCCGCCATCTTGGATAAARTCGAGAAGGTTTCCAATGTACGGCMATGGTTTTGGGCCATTAATGGGTACATCGGACAACACTGCATAATCTTTAACACCAAACCAGTATATTAGAGCTAGGACAATGATTACAGCAATAGCTGTTAASACYGGATCCATGCTATCTTGGAGTGGCTTCTTTTAGGATCTTCAATATTACGTTACGTAACCGTGRCCTCTTTTTGTTGTGGAAGGKCATGGCACGGTTTCCGAGCCACCACGTGGRCTAAAAGAGCCAGGTAGCACCGCTCGGAACGGGTCTCATGATAGGTTGAGAAAACAATGGACAAACAATAGATAAGTCTTCCAACAATATAACAAAACCTAACCTAACAATAGTGGTGCTGTACTTAAGGAGCAAAAAAAGCAGGTTTCAATTGGTACTGCATTACTGGACTAAAAACTGCTTAGTCAACACATGTCAACCACATCTTTGACTTTATTTTCCGTTTATTTATCTTGTAACCCCATTGAGACCTTCATACATAGTAAAATAGGCAAAGCTTACTCAAATCTTTTTATATGCTCTATTAATGGAAATATGGTAAAACCGACGGATGGAAACGGAATCTGAATGGATATTGGAAGTTATCTCATTTTCCATATTTAAAAAGTCTAAAACACAAACGCATAAAAACACATGTGCATAAAAAGTGACATGTGCATAAAAAGTCCACGCTACGCGCCTGACTTATGGACTAATGGACATCTAAATTCAAAGACTCGTTGATGTGTCACWGAAATTGACCAAGATATCAATTTTTCAACTATTGATTTTTTCAATTTTGTCACATAAATTGAGGATGTAGAAGCTGAAAAACATCTTGATGATTTATTAGACATAACACAAGCACAAGTAATATCAAAGTCGTTTTTGACCATAAAATCGTTACATAAGCCTTTTCTTGGACCTTGAAAACCTTTRCCAGGGACAAAATTATTTGAAAGAAGCAAGGGCACCACATTTGTTTATCAGCTCCTCCTGAAAGTTTTTGTCTTTACACTTAGATCCAGATGAGTAAGCCACCTCTTGCATCTGGGTTCGTCTTTAG